TGCATAAAAGTGATATTTGTTTAATTTTATTTGATAATAATTTTGGCTTGTATAATCGATCTACACCTTATGATTTTAGTTTTGAGATATAGTGAAAGTATTAAATTATATTAACTTTGAAAGCCATGAATGATTCAAAGATTTTGTGAATATAATTTTTTTTTTAAATAGCAAGATGAATGCTATTTGACCATTTGGGTGATGGATATGGTTTTGCTTATGATAATAAATTGGTGAATGATGTCCATGATAAAATAGATTCATAAGTTTCTATGAGTTGGCATTAAAATCTCAAAAAGAGATTATAGAAAACATTAGTATATAATTTTTTTTTCAAAAGTAATTATGTTTGACATCATTCTTATTAATTTATACTATCGTATTGAGTTTAAATAAAAGTTTTGAAACTTTTAAGAGAAGAAAATATTAAAATATATAATATTTGTTAGTTATTTTTCATTAATGGTGGATTTGGAGGTTTTCTACTTAAAAAAAAAAACCTAATAGCGAAAAGATAAATGAAATAACAACTTAATTAAGTATATATGATATATTGATAATTAAATGAAACATTTTTTAATAAAAGAATGCATATTTACACATGGTGAGGGTAATAAAAAAAAATTACTACTATAGTGTTGTAAGATTTTAGTGTAATTTTATAAACAAATTATGCAAGCTAATAATTTTAGTATAACTTATTAAAGTAAAATCATAAAAGGTCCTTAACTATCTTAAAAGGATTAAAATGGCTTGGTTTTTTCATTGAGTTTAACCAATTATACTAGAAGTATAATTGTATTAAAGATATATAAAAGTATGAAAATAAAATGATTAAAATTTATGAGTATAGAATTGTAGTCACAACCAATACCATATATTTCTTAAAATGACAAGAATGAGGTAACAATGTTTAGAGCATATAAATGATATATAAAACCAAAAATTTGGACATATTAACTTGAAGTGATTATATTAGAGATTCAATCTCAAATGAGGTTAATTACCATAAAAGAAAATTAAATTTTAAGATATTTGATTAGTAGTATTACAAGTAAAATGGATTTAAACACTTACTTTTAGACATCAATAATGGGAACTCAACTTTGAATTATTAACCTCTAATTATAAAGTTTAATGGGTAAAAACATGTTATTGTTATGTGTTTGTCAAACACTAGTAAAATCCATTCAAGTTTTAAAAACTAGTGTGATCCATTATGTAGGGATGATGTGTTTTTATACTTTTAATAGAGCTTATTATTTTAATGTCTAAAGTAATGAGATATAATGAAAACTCTACCTATATAAACATAGAAGTGATGCTGCTTCAATAAGAAGAATTGGAGTCTCTTTTGTAAATGTTTATGAATAGGATAAATACATGGCTATAATAGTACTAAAATGGTTATAAATCTATGACAAAAGAATAAATAAGTATTAAGTGTGTTATATTTTTAATTCTAACATTAGGAGTTGAAGTTTAATTTACGAACACTATTAACTTCGTTAGAATTATAAGATATATACGTTAACTGAAGATGTAAATCGAGAAATATTTTTTGTATTCATAATATTTATTTGTGTGAAAGGTTAAAGATTAAGCACTAACATTCCAAACTAGTGAAAAATTGTTGGTAATTTAGAATATGATACATCCCACCTTAGATCTAAAGATTTAATTATTGTTGAATAAAATTATTTTTTGTATTAATTTTTTCATAATTTAAATAATTATATTTATACAGAAACAATTATTATATGAAAAATTGTCATAATTATTTGAATATAAATTAATTATTATTCATAAAAATTATGATTATAAAAAAGGTCATATCTATTTGAATAGAAATTTATGTCTATTCATTTATTATAAATAGTTCTTTCAATATAATTATTTTTATTATTTCTGCTTGGAGAGTTTAGAAGTTTTGTTATATCCTAAAGGTATAATTACTTTTAAAAAAGTGTTTTTCATGTTTCAAAACTAAAATTATTTTTTATTATTTTTATTCTCTTATTTATTTTTCTAACAATCAATAAAATAGATAAAGGTCACTCTCTCTAAGATTCCTCTAAGGATTCAAAATACTATAGTTCGGGGACTAATTGATTAAATTTATCATAAGACTAGATTTCTTCCTTTTAAAAGTTCAATTGAGTCAAATTATAATATTAAGGGCTTGATTGATTATAATAAAACATTAAAAGGTATAAATGATTATTAAATTATAATTCGAGGGTATTTTTTACCCTTTAACCTATATTATATAAGTAGTTCCTTTTTCTTTTTTTTGGCTATGTACAACAAAAAATAACTCCTTTTTATGTCCAATTTCTTATTCAAAGAATTTAAAATAAATTAGTATATCAAATTTTGACCATTAAACTATTGTCGTAGAATCATTAGATAAAATGGGACAGGCTATAATAAAATTCAACTATAAAGATAATTAATTTTTTTTTATATTTGAAATTATTAAAAATTAAATCATGATTAATTAAAATTAAAAATTCAATACTTTATATCTAATTGATGACTTGATTATAGGCAACAATTAAATTATTTTGTTTCTATAGTGGAACTATATTCAAACTAAATCTTTCAAATGTAAAGCATTTATATATGGATTATTGAATTTCCCCTAAATCAAAGTAATAGTTTTTAATATTTTATTTGTAATATAAAATCTTATTTTTGTACAAAAAATTTTGTGATAGATAAATTATTTCGTCTCTCAATTCATGATAAATTGTGCCTTACCCGACAATTTAAAAATAATGACTAGAGATCGTGCATATGAGATTATTCCAGCAAGAGATTACTAGCTAAATTCAAACACAAAACCTTGACATATTAAGATTAATAATTTTTGTCAATTGAGCCAATTTCTTTTTTTTTTTTGTAAGAGAAAATTCGAAGGTAAATAAACTGCTTAATTCTTCAAATCAGGACAAGATGTACTATATCTAAAAATTTAAGATAAGTAATTACAAATCATACATTTGAAATGACACAAGAGCTACGTAGGTTTCCTCTTTTAAAAGAGGTCATAGCCAAGGTCTGGCCTCCTAACGTTAAAACATAACACCATTGGTCATCTCATGAAAAATCTAGGGTTGGCAACCATGAGGCAATTTGAATAAGTCATAACTTAGAAACGTACAAACTTAAAGAAGCTATGGTAAGTAGAGACTACAAAGGGTTTTTGTCTTCATCAGAGACGAGTAGGTTTACGATAGTCAATTGCTTCTTTTACCTTAATACGAAAATTAATCGAATGTTATTTTAAATATTTATTGTTCATCTCAATCAATTATTTTTCATCTTTCTCATGTTTATATGGTGGTTCTTTCTTTTTAATTTTTTTTTATAGAAGATGTCATAATTTGAGTATAAAAGAAATTATAAATATTAAAATTTAAACTTTAAATTTATTGATTTTTTTTAAAAAATAATTATATAAATTAATTGAATTAAATTTTTTATTTTTTTTATAATGCTTTTGTTTCGTCAATGGTGATAAGTGATTTCTTCGGTGATTAAAATTTTAGTTCACTTTTTACTGTCATTTATCATACAGGTCATTTGATTCCGTGCTATTATGAATAATCACAAACTCAAATAGATTTTGATTTCAACATATTAAATAGTTATTTACAACATATCAATAGTCATAGAACAAAAAATTTGTCCACTAATTAATTAGCAAAGATATGAGATTTTTGTTAAAATATTATTTTTTTAATAATTAAGATTCCTAAAATTAAATCTTAATTACTTAAATTAAAAATTCAACACCAAAATTATTAGTTGTAAGAATATGATTTTAAGTTTTTGGAAAAATCTTGTAAACATATTCTAGGATTTGGGATTTGTTTTTTCATAATTTATAATTTTTTAATAGTATCTTCCTTTGGAGGTCTCCAATTAATTGTCTCTCCAACTTATTAAATTTTTTTTGTAAAATTATCAATTATTAATTTATTACATATAAATTAGAATTATTATAAAGGGTCAATAATGGAGTTTGGCCTCAATGGCTAGGTATCTTGCCACTTTCAAGTGGGAAATCACTGCAACACCTATCTTTCTAGTAAATCCCCTAAAAACCATTGCTTTGTCGACCAAATTAGCTGTATTTGACCAAATAAATATCATCCATTGTTTTGGAATTTAATATTCATGGTCCCAATGATCCAATAATTATCCCAAAGGCATAATTAAGGGCATCAACAAGTTGAAAAAAAAGAGAAAAAAAAAGAAAAGAAAATAATACATAAACAGAGACTCATGATGCAAAGTTCCACTGGAAACACACACATTTTGAGGAAAAACACATTTGTTCTTTTGTTTCTGTCTAACCCAACACCACCAATGTTCTAATTTCTTTGCCATAATAAATTAAATATGCATTTCACTATTCTCTTCTTCACAATTTAAAATGTGCAATGAAAGTTTTTTTTTTTTTTTTTTAAAGTTAAGATCCTTATTATATGTATAGGGTTTGATAGAGAAGTTAGTAATTTTAGATAATAAAATTAAACAAAATTAATAATCTATATAAATAATAATCCTAATTATTAAAATAGGCATTTATAAATATTAAGTTTAGATTACACAATGTGAGAGAAACTTATTTCTATCTCACATTTTAGTTTTATTTTTTAATTTAAATTGAAAAATTTTAAATTAAAAAAATTTATTAAGTTTTTAATCGTTACATGCTTTTTCTTTCAAATGAAAAATGTATCAATTACTTAAGCTTATTCAAAAAATTTAAAATTCTAACTCATTGTATAATAAATCCATCACATTAAAACCAAGCATATTGTCATTCCTTATGCAATGCATCAATTGAAGTCATTTAATCATCATTTTTATCACAAATACGTTATTCATAACCATTATCTGTGACAGAAATTTGTAACAAAAAAAAAAAAATTCCATCATGGTTAAAACATTCATGATGCATAAACCTTGAAAAAAAAAAGGATTCTAGTTAGCTCTAGAACAAAATAAATTTGGATGCAAAAGTAACTTAAATAAACGACAATAACCAACTTAAATTTGCAACAAATTCTCATAAGTAACAGGATGTAAGCGGCAACCTGGAACATAGCACAACAGTTGAAGATCAATAATTACCATTTCAGTTTGATTATGACCTCGTTTGTCATGCAAGTCCGACCAACTACTTCAATTTTGCTCAGTTGCTCGCTTTAATCACTCTGAAAAGAAAAACAGAAAGACATTTGGATGAAAAAATATATTGCTACTACATCAGATAATTCATTTGTTCTAGAAAGCTCCAACTATGTCAATTCCTTTGGGGAAACGATTCACCCAAAAGTTTACAAGAACTAACGATTGAAAAGGGAAAAAATGAAAATTTATGAACTATGTCATTGAGCCTACATTTTATGGTAATAGAGATGCCTTTGAGGCGAAGAGGAAAGAAACCAACTGCCTAAACTTGAAGGTGCAGGAGTACCCAAAAACCTGATATTCGGAAATGGTACACTACCATACAGAGATGGCCAGAACCATTAACAGAAGGCATAAGCATTTGAAGCTAAAAGTGCAAGCCTCAAAGAGGTGACTAAATAAAACCTTTTTCATTCGATTCAACTATCTAATACTACACAGATTAAAGGTTCTATAACAGTTGCTAATGTCATATCCCCTTCTCCAGAAACAATATTAGTTTACATTGAATTCAGGACTTTTCAGCTTACACAAATTTGGCAAAATCTTGTATACCAGAACGTGCTACCATTTGCATGCTTGAAGAAAATATATCTTGAAGGCTCCAGAAGCATAATTAAGAATAATTGAGTAATCAAAATTAAATGAGAAAACTAATTTTTGTTATACATTATAGTTTAAACATCAAATCACCAACCAACTTAAATAGTCTCTCTACTAGGGCCCATAGAAGATTCGTACTTCCAATAATAACAGGTAAGCATAATTCAATAATTGGAGATGGATTTGTAGGCCAAAGTGTCATAGAGAAGCTTCTCCTCTACAAAATTTTACACAAAATTAATCCGTCATCATTATCACGGATGCGTAAATCATAGTTTAAGTACTTTTTCCCCCTTCTAAAGATATTTAAATCTACCTATACTTTCCTCTATTTTTATACTCTTCCATACACCATCCCCTTTACAAAATACACAAGCCATTCCTCATCAAGAAAAGCAAATCAAAGTAATCATATTAACAAAAATTTCTATCCTAGAAAGAGAAGCGAATATTAAAAAATTTTTAGTGGCTTTTTCTTATCTTAGCTCTTGAAGATTAACTAAAATCATTGAAAAGAAGAACAACAATCCAGGCTGCTATGAAACTTAACTTATGAAAGTGCACAGAACAAAGCAGAGAAAAACAGAGCAGCAGTACAATCATGTAAGCATATGAAAAGAGAAATGACCTGTAGCTTTGAGGTCATGAAGTATCATAGGAAGTGGGGTTGTTCTGCTGCTGGTTTTCAGCTGAAGAATCAGAAGCATTAGATACATTTCCATGTCTGTCAAACACTTTCTCCTCAACTTCCTCATTTTCACTCTCAAAGTAGAACCTCTGACCCAAAACCAAGTACTTCAATCTCTTTCAGCCTCAATCTCCTGCTGGAAAAATCATAAAAACTCAATGCACTTTCGTAGTTGAACCAGGATAATCATAAGAAGGAGCTGGATTCAAAAGGTTGTGAAATAAGAGGAAAAACCACATATTCAACTAAATGAAAATAATCAACTCAAATTTGCAACAGAATTTCAGAAGTAACAGGAGGCAGGAGGAAAGTGATGAGGCATTCCTTAAATAGTAACTGACAGCCTGGAACAGGAAGCACTGCAATTGAAGATCACAAGTTGCAGGTCTACTTTGTATCCTAGAAAGCAAAAGTCACTAAGTAGAGAAGTATTAGTGTTAGCCTTAGTTGTGCTTGACTTCATTAGATAAACCGCAAAAGTATTGGTACAAGTTACAAAATTTCTTCTAATAATTTTAAAGTGTGTACTAATGGCTTAACCTAGTTGCCATGGCTTTTCAATTTCAAACTAGTTCAAAAGTCTTTTAAAAGGACCTTCACAATTTTGATAATAGAAATAAGTGGCACAAGATAATTGCATTTGATCTGTTGTAGCCTTGTAGGTCATTTAGTGGAAGACCAAGAGAAAAACATACTGGATTGAATTTCTGTTAAGTGAGGAGAAATGCATTTTTATTAGCTACAAAGAATTTAAAGAGAGAAAATAAACAGCAAGTGATGAGACATACTGCTTTGTCATTTCGAAACATGTATTTGAGAGGGTGAATCTGAATTTGATTTAGTTGTCAATTTTTTAAGGATGAGTGTGGTCATTGCATTTGAGGGAGTATAAAAGGATGCATTTGGAATTCACTTTGTTATCTGGGTATTTTAAATTCATTACTTTGAGTCATTCTATAAATCCATATACTCGAATGTAATTATACAACCCATATATTAATGAGTATTACCGCATAATTTCTACTACATTTGAAATCCAAATTCATCTTCTAAACTGTAAATTTACAAATGCAACATAAAATTTCATGAAATTAGATGGCTTAGTTACTAAAAGAACGTACCCATGAAAGCTAGGATCCTTACTTGCTACTCAGGAAAACCCCCAAGTGGAGAGATCTTTTAACAGAAGCAGCTGTTCAAGTTGTTTAAGTAGTCCTTGAACTGAATGAATCATGGAAAGGAAACCAGGGCTTCTGTTATGAACTAGAGAATATGGTAGTCACCAATTTCATACCATACAAGAGAATGAAGGAGTAAAGGTCATTTTTCTTTATTGATTTAAAATCTATGCTCATAGGCAATACTACTCCAGGAAATCCAAATTTGAAATGAACTATGCGGATCTTAACGCAAAGTTGTCAAACCATCAAAAACTGTCATGCAGATAATTCCTGGATAGAAAAACGAGCTATTGCACCTCCAGCGTACGGCAACTTACGGAAGAAGAACTTCATTTTGATGGAAATAATCAATTAAAATTGGCAACAACGCTCAGAAGTAGCTAGGGTGATGGTAGCCTGTAAAAGTAAAGCAATTTGCCAAAAATTAAGTATCAGTTGTAGATTTAATTCCATCTAAAAGCAAAATCATCAATATTTACATTAATTGTGCTTGAAGTGAACACAATATGCCCCAAAATCATTTGCAACATTTGATTTGTTCTACCAAAAAAGACTCAACAAGTACTTTTTTTGCCTCTTTATGAAGATTGAAGAACATCAATTAAATAAATTATAAAATTGCTACATAAAAATAGAGAAATACTGCACCTTAGTGATGACTAAACAATTGACAGCTAACTTAGAGTGAATTATGGAGGAATCCACCTCTTCAATGGAATGACACTAGTTCCTTGAGTTGGGAGTATTGCAATCTCTAATTTTCACCTTGTGCAGACCAAAAAGCAATCCCTCGTAAGGCAACAAATCAAATTCAACCAACTGCAGTTCATGGATTGCTGCAATCCGAAGTCATCCCACAACTTGTCCCCACCCCCCTCCCCCATTATTCCCAAGTTCCATTGAAAGGCCAAGATGTCGATTAACTTATAACATTAATGTTCTTCAACATGAAAGAATGCCCCACATTCTTTAATGTCTTCAGAAAAAAGCCATTCCTGCCATTTCAGGACTTGTTAAAACCTTAATGTTTTCACTTGGAAACAAGTATTTGAGAGAGGGAATTATAAATCTGATTTGTTGTTCATTTTTTAAGGATGATTGAAATCATTACATTAAAGAGAGTATAAAAAGATGTATCCAGAATTCACTATTAAAAGAAATTTAACAAATCTATGTTTTTAAATGGAATTATATAAGTCATGTATTTATAAGCATTACCACATAATATCTACAGCGTTTGAAATTCAAATCCACCTTTTCAAATGGAGATTTCCAATTGAAATTTAAAATTTAGTGGAATCTAGATGGCTTAGTTGCTCAAAAAACATACCTATGGAAGTTAGGATCCACAGTTACTACTACCGAAAACCTTCAACCTAAGAACTCTTTCAAAAGGAACAGTCCTTGGATGGAATGAATCATCTTGATAAGCAAGAGAGTGCTTCTGGTCTGATTAAAGAATATGGTTGCCACTGATTTCGTGACAATAGAAGGAAGGAGTTGAAATCCTTACTCCTTATTGACATCAAATCTGAGCACGTCAACATTGCAGCTCTATGAAACCAAAATTTCAAATTAAGTATGCAGAGCTTGAGGCCAATCCATCCAAGTATTGAAAACTTTCATGCTGATAATTCTGGGATAGAAAAATAAGGCCACTAATGTCCAGACTGAAGCAAATCATACAACAGAGAACTTCATTTGAATGAGAATCATAAACAGGAATTTGCAACTGATTCTTTAAAAAAAAGAATCAAGGAAGGTTGTAAAAGATTTGAAGCAAATTAAGCAATACCATAAAAGTAATAAAGAATTTGGCTTTAGAATTCATGAAAAAAAAAAAAAGAGAAAACAGTCCACAAACTTCAATCAATTAAAAATTTGTGAAAGAAAAATGAATAAACAAATAGTAAAATAAGTAGTGAAATTAACTGAAAATGGAAGGAGTACCTGACCATGAGTTAGATTGCGTTAATAATGGCAAAGGGCCACGTTGACACATTTGGCTTCTGAGTGTTGCTATATAATGACTTCATTGTCAATCCAAATGACGGGGATGTGGGAAATGATGGGCCAATCTCTACCGGTCCCCTTCTTGCAACTTTCTTTCAGCGAAGGACAACACTTGATATGCAACCTGAGGAGAGAGGTGAGGTGTTGAAAGCCCTTATCGTCCAAATGCTTAAGATTTCGAAAACAACATATGTGAAGATCGGTTAGAGAAGAGGGCAACAGATGTTCATCTGGAAAAGACTCTTTTGCACCTGTGAGTGAATGGAACTTAGTTGCCTCGTAGTAATCGTGCTCCGAAAGATGGCTGATATGCAAATGGCGAAGAGAGGTAAGGTGTTGAAAGCCCTTGCTGTTCAAAAGCTTAAGATTTGGAAGACCCCATATCTCAAGATCAGTAAGAGAAGAGGGCAGCAGATGTTCATCTGGAAAACACTCTATCTCTAATTTTGAACTCTCGATTTTGAAGCGTGTCAGAAAAGGGAGTGTTTGCAAACTCCATTCCCTCCTCGTCATGCCCGTAATCAGTTTATCACTTTCTGAGATAGAAATAGTTTTTAGTTTGGAGGGCAAACCCTCGCTTGGAAATGACCTTATTTCTCGACAATCTGATATTATCAATCCCTCAAGGAATGGGAAGAGGGAGTGCATATGCTCTGGAAATGACTTTAAATTTACGCAAGAGGCAAGGGTAAGTGAGGTTAAATTGGTGGCAGATAATCCCTCTTCAATTTGAAAAGATATAAAATCAGAGGAACAGATTACCAAAGATTTGAGACATGCGAGATGCTGATGGTGAGGCCCCTCTGATGCACCAATCCACTTCAAGTTGTCGCATTGTAAATAAAGATTATTTAGCATAGGAAATGATCCTAATGGAAAAGATCCTACGGGATGACACCTTCCGCTTAAAATCATCAAGGATTCAAGGGATTTATACAAGGGGATTTTGAAACAATCCAAGACACCACCATAGATTCTCAATTGCTTCAGCGTTATAGGAAGACTACCTTCAGGAAGGGATCTGAGATTAGAACAATTAAACATAGTTAACTTTTCAAGACGAGTGCAGCGTTCCATCATCTGCTCCATTATGGAATCATTGATAATCCGATTGCAAATATCGAACTCTCGAAGCCCGCCGGGCAATGGCACCAATTGCAATGCATCGCAAAGCCGTAACTCAAGTTTGCAAATGCTTGGTGCCCTAGGAAGCAAGCCACCAAGATTTCCACAACGGTAAATCCAAAGTTTCGTTAAAGATGGGAGGTGCTTGGGCAGAGAATTGGCTAGCTTGGGACAATCTCTTATGCTTAGCTCTTGCAAACTAGAGAAAGCATCATCTCTCGAACAAAGCTTCCATTCTTTCCACTCTGGCATATTCCAAAAGCCTAGAGTTTTAAGAGAGCCAAATGGTTTACTCGATGCATCACAATGCCCATAGAAACCATCATTATCATCACCGACTGTTACTACTCCGGAAAACCCTGAAATAGAGAGAGATTCCAAAGATGATAATTGCCCAAGCGGTGGCAAGAACAAGCAATATTTACAACCGCTTAACTCCACAGATACCACATTTGAGAATGGAGAACGCCCCACCCATTCCGGGAATCCTGTACCTCCATAATAACTAATGACAAGACGCTCCAAGTTTGTATGGGGCTCCAGTTGTTCAAGTACTTCTCTTTCATGTGTTGTATCATCAATATCATGACCTGAACTCCACAGCAACTCCAACTCCTTAAGGTCCTTCTTCTCCTTCAAATTGGCATCTTTGGCATCCCTTGCACGGGCAACATTTTCTAAACCTGAAATGGCAAGGCTTCCACGTAGATGCTTGAGCTTTCCTAACTCATTAATGCTTGAACCATTTTGGTCGCCCAAAACAAAATCTGTTAATATTCGAAGATCTTTCAACTTATCCATTCCTTCAGGCATCCTTTCTAAATCTGTTTTCCGAATATCGAGATGTTGCAAGTTGATCAATCTGCACATGTCTTTTGGCAACTCCGCAAGCTCCAAGCATTCAAACAATATTAATGTTTGCAAATAATACAGTGTACTCAAAGAGTTCGGCAAACATGTAATTAACGTTTGAGAGAGATTCAAATATCGCAAAAATTTTAAATTGCCAATTTCTTCTGGCAACTCATTGATATTACGATATTTAGCCAAAGAAAGTGCTCGTAAGCATCTACATTTTGTTATCAAATCAATCAGTTGGCTGGTAACATAACACCAGAGTGACGATGACTGAAAAGTCAGGAACGTTCGCAAACTTTTTGCTTTGGATAATGTCTTAAATTTCTTACTCACATCATAGCTTCCTTGGATATTGGACAAATGACGAGTCTTTTCAGTTATTTCACATGAACCATCACTACCATCTAAACTGCAAAAAAACTCTTCAGATACAGATTTAGCTAAATCACTAATCAGATCATGCATAACGAAACAACATTTATCCCCTTTTGATTTTTGAAAAAATGACCTCAATTCTAACTTCTTGAAGTACTCATTACCTTTATCTTCCGCATCGTCATTTTCTTTGGAAAGCGGTAAAAGATCTTCAGCCATCCATAATTGAATGAGTTCTTCTTTTGTGAATTCATAATCTTTGGGAAAAATTGAACAATATGCAAAGCAACGCTTCAACTCTGATGGAAGATAATAATAACTCAATCTTAATGCTGGAAGAATATCGTCTGTTATGTCCCATAAAGGGCTCCTTAATATTTTATTCCATGCGTCAACACCCAATTCACCACGCAAAAGACCTCCAAGTGTTGTTGCTGCTAGAGGGAGGCCTTTGCATCTTTTGGCAATCTCTTCACCGATTACCTTCAGATCTGGATGCATGCTTGGGATTCCATCGACAAATGCATGTGTTGCAAATAACTTCCAGCAATCATCATCAGATAAGATATGAAGATCAAAAGTTGGAACAGTCCTCACAATGGATGCAACCCTTCCACTATGTGTTGTTACGATAATCTTGCTATTTTTTGCCCCAGAAGTGAAAGTACTTATGAGTTTTTTCCAATAACTATAATTCTCGTTCCAAACATCGTCTAAAACAAATAGAAACTTCTTTCCCAACAGCTTCTCCTTGAGTCTAAGTTGAAGCTGCTCTAGATTCTGACTATCATCACAACCAGAAGTGATCGCATCAAGAATGGTTTTGGTTACTCTGGAAACATCAAATTGGTCTGAAACACACACCCATGCTTTGAGGTCAAACCATTCGGCCACTCTCTCGTCGTTGTAGATGAATCGTGCAAAGGCGGTTTTACCAACCCCAGGCAGACCCAATATTGGAATCACATCTATCTGATTTTCAGTTAGATATTCTGAGTGCAACAACTGCATTATTGCTTCTTTTTCACCATCTCTGCCATAAAAAACACCAGTTTCATCCACTGAAGAAGTTTCACGGGATTTTTGAAATTCCTTTTCTCCTTTACAATATTTTTTCAAACCGCGGATACCCTCTTGGTTGAGTAGATATTCTATTTTCTCAAGGATTTCCCCAAGCTTTGATTCCATCCCCCTTTCGAAAGGATTGCGAGAAGAGAAAAAGCGGCTTACCTTCCTTACCTTACTAGTTTGACCCTCGGATTCCATCCTACTTTGAAGGGCTTCAGCCGCGATCTCATGAAGGAGGTCATCCGCACAATAAACAGCATCTTTGAGCTCATCAATCAAGGCTCTGGCATCCTTATCGGTAATAGGCTCATTTTCAGCATATTTCAGCACGACGTTAGCTGACATGAGCGTTGGCTTCAGTTTCCTAAGAAGGCCATCTTCAAGTTTCTTTCCTCTAATGAAGTCCAAGACCTCACGGGAAGCCAACCTGTCGAAAATAACTTGGAGGAAAGCAGAGAGAGGAGTTTCAACTAGCAAATCGGCCATTTTTTTTTTTGCTTTTGACAAGGAAATTTGAAGAAGATCAAAGGAAGTGAATGCAAACAATGGAAAGAAGAAGGGTGCTAAAACTCCAGTGAAAGGATTTGAAGGGGAAGGTTTTTTCTTTTTTCATTTTTGCAAGGGAAGGATTTGAAGAAGATAAAAAAAAGGAAGTGATTGCAATCAACAAACGGTGAAATTAGATGAGGATGAAAGATGAAGAAAGCGTTGTGGTGAATGCAGGGCTGATTTCACTTTCAATGAAAGCGTCGTGCTAATGTACTTTCCTAGAACGTTGCAATCAGGGACGGATCTACGAAGAAACATGTGGGGGCAGTTGTCCCCACTGAGTTCATAAAATCTTTTGGGTTTGTTATAAAAAATATCAAAAGTTTTGAAAATTTAAAAATTTTCCCCTGTAGAAAATCTTTGTGATAATTTTTGAACCCACTAAATTAAGGTTCATACATGAAAATTTTCATTATATATCTAATAATTGAGCATTAACACTTTGAGTGCTAAGCAATATGATTATAATATATATATTTATATATATTTTCAAATTTGTAAAATAAAATAAATTATTTTTAAAGAGTTTGAAATTGTTAAATTTTTAATTTCTCATAATAATTTGTTTAGATTGATGCAAACTAATCTTATAAGGATAATGAGATATAAATCTTATACTACTTAAATGATTTAACCTCTTTTTAACACAAAAAAATAACCTAAAAAATATGAAGTAATAAAATAAATAATCATGTTTATTCTTCTTTTCATTGTATGTGAGAAAAGAATAATTTTTTACTTTCCAAATTATAATGAATAAAAATCAAATATATTTGTTTATTAAAAGTAAATGATAAAACTAAACATATTAAAAGAAAGTAATAAAATTAGACATGTTAATTTTTATTTCATTTTTTACATATTATATTTATTTTAAAGAATTTTGTAAGTAAAATTTTATTAAATTAATATATCGATATATATGTATATGTACGTGTCTATTATGATAAATTTATCTAAATATTGTTTAGGTTATATTTGTTAAAAATCATATAATTAATTATGTAAATATTATTTATATTGCAAAACAATTTTTTTTCATTTACAAAAAATATTATATGTGCTAATTTTATTTATAATTTTTAAAATTAATTTATATTTTAATAAAAAAATTTTAAATTTATTTAAAATATTTGTCCTCACTTATTATAAATCCTGACTCCATCAATGATAATAAGAATCTTATTCCATCATCAGAGCAAAAAAGACGCGTAGAAAAAAGAAGGCTGTAGGGCATAGTGTTTTATATGGTTTCGGTGCCAGAATTATTTCCTGTCTCCATGGTGGTTTTTGATTTGTTGATTATTCATAGGCTAATGGGAAGAGGAATTTGCAACAAAGAAAAGATTGAATCCACTACAGAAAATAAAAAAGTACAAGAGCCCGTTAATGTATCATATTTTCTATTACAAAAATTTCATGGGAAATCACATGGGAAAAAAGTGAACAAATACTAGATTTGCACATGGAATTTTCATCTAAAATCTACCAAAGAGAAAGCATGATTCCATTATGCATATAAAAAAAATTAATTTTCTTCTAAGATGTATCAAAAAGTAGTTTCTCAAAATCAAAGTCCTAAGGAAAATAAAAAAAAAGTGTCCCTAAATTTTTAATTAATCTTTACTCACCTCTTAATTTTATCGATTTTTAATTTTCAATTAAGCTTTTCAAAAATTTTCAAAAGGGAAGGCACGCTTCCAAATAGTGGGACAAGGTCATGGCCTGTCCTCTTAACAACAAATGAATATAAAGAAATTTTATCATTTATACCTAATAAAATTTTTAAATTTTACAAATAAATTAATAATGTGAAAAATATATTTAAGATATATTTATAAAATAAAAAATTAATTAAAAATATTACAAAATTTTAATTTCATTTGTAAAAATAAAAAAAATTATATTATCAATATATTAAAAACAAATTCATAAATATATTTATTATTATACGAGTAAATGAAACAAATTAACTAATAAATTAATACACAATTAAATAAATTTAATATAAAATTAAATCGATAACTTGAAATGAAATACAAAATTTCATGCCTTAAGAACAAAAAACAATAAAGTTGAATGAAGCAAACTAATTTTCTTATATAATTAACCCTTTGGATTGTAATTGCAGTAAAATAATTAATAGATATTAGATTATAAATTAAGATTCATCATATTTTTTAAGGGGCAATTCTTGTTGTAAACACCCATTGTTTATTATTATTATTATTATTATTATTATTTTTTCCTTTTCTTGTTCTGGTGTCTTTCTGCCAGCCATCCGTAATCTACTTGCTAGCGACCCTAACAGCTATCTGCAACTGCATTGCCAGTAACTCTGACAATCACTAGCAGTCGTTTTGATAGTCAATGGTCGCCCTAGTCTTAGGCAACAAAAATCTCTGATTTTCTAGGATTTTGATCTTCTTTTTTTACTCTATAAATAAGGTCATGAGAACCCAAAAAAGAGAGAACCTTCCAACACGTGAAACCCTGCAAAAAATAAAATAAAAAAAGATAAAAAAAAGGTTCATTGCCAGATAAAAAAAAAACTATCTGTGAAAAAAAAAGAAAAATCAAACACCAAAAGCAAAAAAAAAACACACACACACCGCCTAGAATGGGAACCAAAACGTTGGCCTACAAAAAAATAAAAAAAATACAAAAATCATTTTGACCAAATCTTTCAAGGCCAATCTACTTAGTTCAAGGTCATTTTTTGTAAAACTAGGCTCAGATATATATTTAGGGTTTTAGGAAAGATTTTTGTGATTTTAGGTTTTTTTGCAACTGATAGATAATGGTCGGTGACCACCGATGATGGCCACATGGCATAATAGTCATCGAATTTTGAGTTTCTAGAGAAAGAGCGAGACGTATAGGAGGAAGAAAGAGAAAGAGGAAGAAAAAAACTTAAAAAAAAATCTTATTTGGCCCTTAAATAGGCCTTCAAAATGACGTCATTTAGGCAGAAGCAAAATGACACTGTTTTAGCCCAGCAAGATTTGTGCATCGACCTGCGACCCTACTTAGGGTCCGCACATCTGACCCGGTGTTCCATTCTCCCTCTACTTCAAATCGGTTCAGTTGAACCAACTCAGATCGGCATCAAATGTTGAACCGACTAGATCAGCTCAGATTAATGTTGATCGAACCACTAACCAATCCGATTCAAGTAAAATTTTTTTTTGAATTTTTTAATATTATTTTTATTATTTTAAATTTTATTTTAATACTTATGCATGTTAAAATATTTAAATTTGCTAAAATAAATTTTTATTTCTTTAATAATAACTAAATAAAATAAAATAAATAAATGATGAAATATATAGTTAAAATTTTTGATAATTTTGTTAATTTTAAAATAAATTTTATCATATAAATAATAAAAATTAATAAAAATGTAAGAAAAATGAAAGTTTTTTATTTGATGATGAGGTTCAAAAGTATTTTGATAGTGATACCTACAAAATCTCTAGGTGAGAAGATTTTTTTTAAATACTACTAGTGTATTGGAGTATTTATAAAAATTTTTTAATATAATAATTTTTTTATAAAATAGTAAAATAAAAATTAATTAATTAATTAAAAATAAAAGTGATAAAAAATGAGAAAAAGAAAATTTTATCCAATAACGGAGTTCTAAAAATATTCTGAGTAAAAATGCTTTAAGAAATCCCTAGATGAAAATATTTTTTTAAAAATATTACTAGTGTATTGGAATATTTATAGAAAATCTTTAATATAATAAAAATTCCTCTTTTCTTCAAAAACTTAAATAATAATTCAATTAATAAAATCAATAAAATTTCTAAAAAGAGAATAAAATGCATGCATTAACATATTAACATTTTGCATTGCTTTCGTAACATAGTTTTTTTTTTTTTTTTACGAAAAGTAAATCTGAACCTTCGAAGATGAGATTTTAAGGTATTTTGAAAGCGATGCATAAGAAAATCACTAGGTGAGAAAGAGTTCTTTTAATGTTACCAATATATTGAAAACATTTTAAGAATTATTTCAATAAAAAAACTTCTAATCTATTTTTCTTAAATAAAAATGAAACAATAAATAATAAAAGATATCAAAAAATAATAATGAAAAAATCAATGAAATTATTTTTCAAACATCGAAAATAAGACTGTTTTTATAAAAATCAATGAATAATATGTAATTAATTGATATCGTTCTAAAGGAGCATTGTGGAAGTGTTAATTCTTTCCCACACGTAACTGACTCTTAGACCTAGACTGTTTCGCAGACTCTAAAATTATCTTTTTAATAAATTTTAATTAATTTTAAGATTTTATTAAAGGATATATTTTAATAGATAGTCAATTGCACCTAGCCAAAAAAAATTGTGGCAACTTTTTTTTTTTTTTGTTTTTTTTTTTGTTTTCATATTCGTTGGATGGACACAAAACTATTACGATAATTATGCAAATAATTTGTTAACTAATTTGAACTTCAAATAAAATATTTAAACCAAAAAGCTTTTTTGAAAATTTAAGGAGCCATATATCAATCTTTGGTGAATTTTTTGTGGTTTTTTTTTACATGAAGATGAAATGGAAATTCCATGTTCCACTTTATTCTTTTACAAAAATTAAAAATTTTGACTGAGTGTTGTAAACACCCATCTGTGTCTAGGGTCAATCAATTCTGTATTCAAGATCAATTAGATTATATCTAGGTCAATTGATCTGTATTTTATGTTATGTTATAATATTATTATATTATAGTATCATTATCATATTATTATTAGTATATTATATGGTATTATACATATTATATTATTATTATTATTATTATTATTATTATTATTATTCTTTTATTCTTTTATTCTTTTTTCCTAACTGTCGATTGAATGAAGAAACAAAAATCTGGATGGAATTCATTTCATTTAGTTAAAGGATATTAATCCAGTATCCAAATCAAAGACTTTTGATTTGATCCAGAAAAACTAGCAAAAATCTAAACAATAATCATGCCCAGACAGAACCAACCTAAGCGTGAATCCTGGAATTGGATTTTGCCTGTTTTCTAAAATTCATCCTAAGTGGACCTATAAATTGGAATGATCATTTTAGAATAGAACATGGTGGATTTGATGAAAGAAAGGTTTAGTGCTTGAAAAATCTAAAAATAGGTTCCTAGGCAA